TCAGAACACAGGCCTGGGTTGCGGGCCAGGTCCCCATTTGAAGGCAGCTGATCAGTGTTTCTCTCCTTCTCTTTCTTCTTCCCTTCCCCTGTCTCTAAAAAATAAATAAGATCTTAAAAAAATAACCTTCTGTGAGACTGGTCATGTTAATACCCCTTCCAGCAAGGAAAGGGAGACGTGATTAGCAGAAAGTAGGAGCAGAACTGACGTTTAAGCCCAGGAAGCTGAGGGCAGCTGCGCAAGAGGAACTTGGTCGTCTTTGATGACAGACAAGGAAGAGCAACTCTCCTTTCTACGTCACATTTTCCTCCCGCACACCCTTCCCCAAGGGAAGCTGCTCCTTCCTGGGCTGCCTCTGACTTCAGGAGCTGCACATGGCTCTTTGCAAAAGAATGCTTTCGGCTGTGGAAACTGTAAACACAGAATCGAAAGCAGTTGTCCCCACGTTGCCGACCTCCTGAGAGGTATGTCAGCTCCCCGGCCCTGGCGATCTCCTGTCACGGGTGCTGCGCACGTTTTCACCGCACGGCCTTGGCCCCTGGGGTGGGGTGTCCATGGGTTTGCACCTGATGGTTGAACAGCCGTGTCCACGGCCTCTTTCGCAGCAGCACAGATGGCACCGTCTGTTCTTCTGAAGATGGACAGAGCTCCCTTTTCAGCAGACTTCTCTACTCCTGCTCGCTGCTCAGGGCTTTGGTCCAGCTGCTCCTCCCTGCCTCTCCTCTGCCTCTTCGTTGGCTCGCCCTGAACTTTCCCTGGAGTCAGTGGAGAATGTCCGCTGCCCAGAGCATACCTTTCAACAGAAGGCCCTTTCGAGCCTCCGAAGCATGTTTTCCGGCTCTGTGAATGCCCTCTGGTGTCATGGTCGCCCTGGACTAGGGGCCCTACTGAGTCAGCCTATCGGGGTGTCTGTGTCTGTGGCTCACCTGGGCTGCAGAGACAGGAAGAGGACCCTCCCGGAAGGGGTGTCTGGAGCCTCAGGCAGGACCAGATGGCAGGCCTGACTCACCTTGACCTCAGGAGTTGCTCTCCCAGCCTCAGGCCATGCTGATATCCGTCATCTGTCATGGTACTGATGGAGAGGTAACTGTAGCCGAGGGAGGTGCAGCCCCACGGTGATGGGCTCTTTTCTTCCTTCTTCTGTCTTTCTGAGGCCGGCAGGTGACCCGTTCACGACCCAGAACACTCTCATCGCGCAGCTGGTTAGATAAGCCGGGGGCGAGGCCCAGGTAGGGGAGCCTGGGCAGCGCTGAAGGCCTCCCCTTCGAACCAGTATGGCCTTGGGCGGGGGGTGAATGTAATGCGCCTCGGTGTGAACGATTCCCTTTCTTGGGTATCCGGTGTTATTCCAGAGTTATCTGTTTGTATGTTTGGTTGCTTTTTATTGCCTCTTTTTAGTTAACTTTTAAGAAAAAATATACATGGGGGTCATTAAAAGAGGGAAAGAGCAGCCCTGGCTGGTATGGCTCAATGCACTGAGTGTTGGCCTGTGAACCGAACACTTGCTGGTGCAATTCTCAGTCAGGGCACAGCCTGAGTTGCAGGCCAGGTCCCCAGTAGGGGGGGTCATAAGAGGCAACCACACATTGATGTTTCTCTTTCTCTCTCTCCCCTAAAAGTATATAAATAAAATATTTTAAAAAGTGAAGAAAAAATAATTCATAGGCTGCCAAAATAGCAGGAAACACCCATTATTAAATTTAGAAGTAATATATAGTTCACAGAGTGCCAAAAATCATTGAGGAGGGCAAAAATCGGTATGTGTTGAAATAGAAAAGGACTTTTTTATAAGTGAAGCTGGCCAAAATGCCCAGCAAGACCACTGCCTAAAGGGGCGCTTCTGCGGCTCCAGCCTCTGTTCTGCTGACCACAGCCCTCACGAGCCTGCGCGGACGGCTGGGGTCCAGAGCGGTTCTCCTGTTGCAGCATTTTCTTCCTACAGCGGGAGGACCACTTCTGCATTCCCATCCCGAGTATGCTAACAGCGTCCGTTCAGCTTTCAGCTCTGACGATGCAGAATTTGGGACTCATCTCTATGTCCGTCATACCCATCTGACATCGGCACTGCGTTTACCTCCCACACAGCTCGAAAGTCTGCCGACCGGCTGCATCTCTGATACTCTCACTCTGGTCCAGAGTCTTGCTGCCTCTCACCTGGGTTACTGCAGTGAGCACCTAACCGAGCCACCTGCTCTCTCTCGCTCCCCTCCCCCGACGTGTGCTACAGCCAAAGTGAGAGATCTTTTCCAAAGGCCAAGCTGCTCGGGTTCCTGCCGCTACCAGGAATTTCCATCACTTGTGGGGAAGGCACAGGTGCTTCCCTGGCACGCAGAGGCCCGCTAAGCTCTCCAGCCTCCCTTTCCTTTTATCTCTGGTTCAGCCAACACGCCCTTCTCTCATTCCCTCTCTATCTCCTTTCACTGTCTCTTTGCTCATTAAGCACCTTTGAGAGCTGAATCCAGGCATCGCCGCTCGGGGGACCCCCGACCTGCCCTCACTTTGCCCACATGGTTGGGTCAGGTCGCAGCTCTGTCGCAGACCTGCACACCCCGTGTCCCTCACAGCACTCAGGCAAAAGGAGAGATTTACGATCTTGTGCATCAGGAATTGGGGTGTTAAGTGGGACACAAAAGCAAGGATATATATTTATTTAGTAATCAACCTCTTAGATTCAAGCCAACCTTTCTAGATCACAGAGAAACGTACACATAAAAATATGACACAATGGGTTCTCAAAAGAGCCAGGAGTTTTTCAGTAAATAAAATCAGCTATTCTCCCGCCACAGACAACCTGGGTTGTGTAGGTTGTGGCTGTGCATGTAATTTAAGACCTGGAAGGATCTTAACAATTGTTCCAAACAGCCCCCTCCAAGCACAGATGCTAAAGTGAGCCTCCGAGGTGTCTGTCCTAAATGCCAGTGACAGAGGGTGAACCAGAGCCGGTCAGCAAGTCTCTGGGCTCTGTGCTGTGTCTGGTCCACCGTATGTACCTAAATGGCTCTGCTTTCTCCACTGCAGACATGCTGTCTCTGCGTAAGACATTTTCCGAAACGGAGCAGTTAAAACTGTTCGAATTTGGCAGAATGGCTTCAGGCTACTCTACCTTAAGAGGATAATCCTGTGCCCAAAGGGCACAGTAGCCCTGGGCAGCAGGGGGCGCTATTGCAGTGCCGTGACGGTGATAGTGACACGGCCGTTCACACTTCCTCTTTACACCTCTCTTTCCGGACAAGTCTTAAAAAGCATCTGAGGGAAGAGAGCGCCCCTTCTTGCTTTATTATTATTTTTTTTCTATTCAGACCTGAGGACATTTTCCCCCGGTGCTTACAGAGAGAGAGAGAAAAAACATCAGTGTGAGAGAGCAACATCCATTGGTTGCCTTCTTGTATGTGCCCTGACTGGGAATCGAACCCATGACTCTCGGGTCTATGGGATGACACTCCAACCAGCTGAGCCACACAGGCCAGGGCTTCCTATTTTAATGCAGGACTTGAAGAAAAGTGAGTGTCATGCTTGTTCACCGCTCATTCTGAGCAAACTCGTTAACCTTCTCGACCTGAGGCCATATTCCTCAGTCTCCACACTGAACTCCCGTTACAGCCCCTGGCTCCCTGTTCTGGGAGCACTGGCACCCCAAAACACTGACTCATAAACACTGGCGCTTAAGGAAACATCAAAAACCTTCCAGTCCAACAGCCCGCCGGCCCAGGCAGGGACCACCCCGGACAGAGGCGAATGGAATCTACCCTTCTCGTAACGCTTCCAGTGACTGAGTCCTCACCGCACTCATGGGAACACGCTTCCAAGTAGTGAGAATATTGTCTTCAAGAACTCTGCTCGTTCTTGAATCGTGTTCTTTGTCAACAAATACACGATTATTCTAATTAAACCAGACTGTTGCAGCCTACAACGCTGTACAGTGTGTGTGCCGTGTGTGCGTTTACAGCTCAAAGTGTAGGGTATGTACCGTCCAGGTCAGAATAAAAACGCAACATTTAGATCCACTATTCACTTTCTATTCTTGTTAAGTCATAGCATAGAACAAAGATGAAAAGTTGTGGCCTTCGATTTCATCTTTAAAACCAGCTGCTTTGAGTGAGGTTGTGGAGCGCGAGCGCATACGTGGTCCCAGCACCACAGGTGGCCCCATGTTTCACATTGGCCGGGTCGCTTCGCCGCATGGGTCAGCTGGGGGTCGGCGGGCTGGTGGCCATGCCTCTTCCCTTTCAGACGCTCTTGCTTTGGTGGTAAGATCGCATGTGCCCTGCAAGGTGCGTAAACCAGACTGCGGCTCCACTGCCTATTCTGGAAAAATCCGAAAGGGAGTAACTTTTTTTGTGCTGTTCATAATACACATTCTTTAATAAAGGGAAGACAGACAGAAAGGTTTGCTCACTGAATAACGTTTTGGTATTGACTTGCCAGGCGTTTTTCACTGTCGGGAAGTCAGTTCGCTCTTGAATGACCTTGAGTGCAGTGGCAGGTTACAATGTGGCCATTTCACAGAAGACACGTGTTGGCGCTACAGACCAGTATGTTAGGTTGCAGCAGAAGGAGACCCATTTATCCGTGTGACACACTTAGGAAGTTGGGTTTTCTGCTGCTCCCCTCTTATTTGGGAGTGTACCTGGCTGTGAAGAGCTCTACACGTGACATCTGTCATCTTCTGTCTTGGTCCAGGTGGCATGAAGAATGTGCCCGGGGAGTCATCCATTGTTCTGAGGGCCCACCTGGGGCCTGGGAGGGTTGTGTCTGAGCAGTCGGCTCGCCGTGGCCCCAGGAGAAGCTGGCAGGGTGGGCTCCAGAGGTCCATGCTGACCTCGAGGGCTCAGAAGCCTCTAATCAGGGGTGTGCTCACTCTGAGGTCACCCACGTGGGACCTCGGGTTCTACCAGGACAGAGCCCGGGCAGTCCTGCACCTCCCAGCGTTTGCTTGAGTCCTGCAGATAACTGATGCTCCTGCAGGGGCCTCCTCGGCTGAGACTCATGTCTTCTCCTAGGTGACCAAGTGTGGGCCATGGCGGACCATCGGGAGGCTGCAGCGACACTCCTGGAGGACTGCCGGCACCTGCTGGCCGGGCCGCCCGAGGCGCTCATGCCAGACGCAAGCGAGGACGCAGCGAGTGGAGGTGAGGCTCTTGCTGCCCAGCTTCCCCTCCGGGCAGGTGACCCAGCAGAGCACGGACGGGCCCGAATGGGACGGGGCTGCGGGCGGGGGGAGGCCCACTTTGTTGCCCTGAATTGCTGTCAGTTCTCATTTTAGGCTTCAGTAAACAGGAGGCTACAAGAAATAGTTTAGTTCAAGAAGAACAAAGGCTCTGAGTGGGCCGGTGCCATAAATTTCAATTACTAAAAAACTGAAGCAACTTCTCAATGGTGGCACATCTTTTTTTCGAACTGGGCTTTTGCGCCTCATCAGTTCCCATAGACGTCCCCTGGTTTCCACAAACCTGTCCCCACAGCAGCCCCTCTCTCTACTTGGAACCATCAACACGTTTCTCAGGTCACCGTCACGTGCCGCCTGTAAAATAATGGCACGCGTACGAATAAATGCACCCGGCACTGTGATCAGGGCTGAAGAATTTGGCTTTCTGCTCGTTCCGGGGTCTGTGCCATTGGTCGTAGAGGAGGCCTTGTTCAGGAAGTTTCCATCACGGAGAACACGGAGTCACGGCGACGCTCGTCGCCTCTCCAGTCCTGCATTTCTATCCGTGTCCCTCGTGTGTGCGTCTCCTGTTATGCGTTGTGTTTGCAGCAGTGTGTGTCCTGCAGAAGTAAGTTCCCACACGACACGACCACACCCGCATCTCCTGTTGTTGGTGAGTCCGTAACCGAGACTCTGGGTCTTCTTCCCACGAACTTGCAGGGACGTCCCCAGCTCCCTGGGGGCACACAGCATGAGCAAGCTGTGGGAGCCACTCGGCACAGACCCACACCAAGCCCCTGTCTTAGGAAAATGAGATCCACACCGTGGAAGAAGGGCAGCGAGACAGACAGGAATTGCTGGAATGGGGGGGAATGGATTTCACAGTCCACAGAAGTAATGCCCAGTTAGATTCAAACAGGAAGAGAGAGCAAACGGTGCAGACTGAGTCCTGGTGTCCGACTCGGGCAACTCAGTGAAGGACACGGTGGGAGGGTCTGTCGCAGCAGCGAGTAAGAAGGAACACAAGGGTGGAGAAGACGCTGAGCCAGTGTAAGGGTGTGGAGCCTGCAGTGTCCTCGGGACGGGCACCTGGAGGCGCCTGGCTGGCGTCCCAGGAGAGGGTCGCGTGTGCAGGCTGCGGGACTCAGAGTGTTCGGGTGCTGGGGTGTGCTGCTCCCCCTGGCCTCGGAGACGTCCACACCCCAGCAGGGCCTGGGCAGCATCGAGAGCCAGACATGAACATTTTTGCAGCAAAACCTTTGACTAAGCTCCCTCTGTAGGATAAATACACCTGGAAACAGCCTCCAGTTTCCAGGTGTATTTGACCCAAGTCACTTTGGGTGTCAAACTTAAAAAAACCTTCAAGCTTCCAGAGATTTTTGGGTCTACAGAGTTTGCATAAGAGATCGTGGACTTGTGTAAAGAATTAGGTTGGGTGGCCGTGAAGAAATTAAATATGTCTGCAATTGTGAAGGAAGGACATTCAAATTCCGTCCGGGCTCTTTGTGTGCATCTTCTGCATTTGGATGTCGCCCACAGTGAAAGTGGGGGAAACCAGGCTTGGAGAACAAAGGGTCTGCGACCGCAGCTGCCACAGGCCCCAAGTGCTGCTCGGGCTCAGCCCCTTTCTCACTTTACAGGGAAAACAATATTTCCTGCATTCTTGTCTCTGATTCTTCATGCAGAGACAGCCGCTGAAGTGCTTCACTTCCTGCTAAAAACGTTTCTTCATGCCTCGCTGCTCCCAGTGACCTGCAGGGCTGCCGGCGCAGGTAGCTGCTCACCATTGTTCTGGGAGCCTGCGCCGCAGCTCAGAGCAGCCGGCAGGGCTCGGGAGTGTTTCCGCTGCCGCGAGGCGCTTCATCACATCACAACACGGGGAGCGCCCAGCCCTTTCTCTGAGAGCCATTTCCTCACCTGAACTCTGACCTTTCCAGCTTCCCTCCCCAGTGAGCTGAGGACCCTCATCCAGGAGGCCAAGGACATGAAGTGGCCCTTCGTGCCTGAGAGGTGGCAATACAAACAAGCCGTGGGCCCGGAGGACAGAGTCAACCTGCAGGACGTGATTGGCGCCAGGCTGCAGCCGTTACTGGTAGGGGACCCTTGCCACCTGTCCCTCTGACCCCGCCCTGCCCCGCCCCGCCGGCCAAGCAGGGACAGAAGTGGTGCAATAGATTGAGTTTCTCTGAGGCGAGCCAGCGGTCACCTCTGCCAGACTGACTAATGGGGGAAACAGCTTTCAGACAAGCGTCGCAAGCCCTCGGGGACCCACAGTCGGCAAAACAGATCAGGTGAAAGGGAGGGGTGCTCAGCGGGTTGGAGCGGCAGCCTGTCTGCTGGAAACTCACGGGCAGGTGGGCTTCAGCAGTACCCGGGCTGCGCTGTGCCGCACGGCACTTTCCACCAGCCGGGCAGCTTAAGTACAGGGTGGGGCCAAAGTAGGTTTACAGTTTGTGTGGAAAATAACTTGATAACAGAACAAGAATAAGCTCTGTGCTCACGTACTCAAAAGCGTAAACTGCTTCCCCCCACCCTGTGAGTAACTTCACCGCCATTTCAGTCTGGGCCACTGAAGCCTGCTAGTCCTGTGCCCTCGCCACCTCCATCACGTCAAAGCCGCCGACGTACCCCTTCCCCACCCCCAGGGGTGTCGGTGCGCACATCCCAGCATCTTTTCGGATTCAGCAGAAGCACTGAGACTCCAGCGTCCCCAACCCCTGCCCGCCACACAGCCTGGCTGGGCTAGCAGAGGGACTACGGCAGAGCAAAGCGGACGCGGGGCCGAGTGCAAGGCTGAGGCCACCTTTGAGCAAGTGCACTTGCTGGCAGCCACGCGGAGTGGAGCGGTGACTGTCACTCATGTGTCACTGCACAGTCTGCAGAGCACATGCACAAGTGTCATCTCAGTGAATTCCCAAAACAGCTCTCCAACGATTGTCAGCTCCATGCTCCCACTTGACCACCAAGAACATGGTGTGCAGCCGGGGGGGACGGACCAGTGAGTGGCCAGCGTTGGGGAGGGGTGCGGGGGAGGGGACTCCAGCTGTCCTCAGAGGGACCCGGGGCTGAGCTTGGGGCAGCTCACTCGGCCTTGTCGACGGAAGTGCCCCCACCTGCTGCCCATGCGCCAGCCCCAGGCACTCACGGCTCATAGGCACTTGAGATGTGTCCAGTAAGAATAAAGAGTGCAGTGTTTGAAGTTTTATTTAATATTATCTTAATTTCTATGGAAATTGCCACATGTGGCTAAGGCCACTATGCCACCAGGCAGCACAGCGCAGAGGCAGAGATGCTGGGCAGGAGACCTCTCCGGCAGGGCGGGGTCACCCGGAGATGTGAGGACACCCACTCCTGGACCTGTCCCTCACCAAGTCGAAGGCTCTTGCGTGAGGGTCTGTCCACCAGGGCCAGACAAGCCCTCAGGTGACCTCGATGCTAGAGTTTGGGAGCCACTGTCCTGAGAGAACAGTGGGGTGGTGATGGGGGTGGGGTGACAGGCAGGAGCCCCAGAGAGGCCAGGGGAGGGGGGTGGGCAGCAGGCAGAGTAGAAACCTCTTTCCTGTCGCTTCTGGGGAAAGCCCTGCGTGACCACGCCGGGTGGTGGCATGTGAGCACTTGTCCAGGCTTCCACAAGGTGAGGGCAGAGCCCTACCTAGGCCGTGGTGCTAGAAAGTTCTGAATTTCGCATGTGGCCTCAGAGACGGGGGGCCACACCACGTCACCCTGGGTTCCTCCTTGCGTCCGCCCTGCGTTCAGAGCCGGTGGAGACGTCAGCTGAAAGACTACACGGGGCTTTTCAGCAGCTCGCGGTCCTGCTCTCGGCCCTGGGGCGGTTGTAAGAATCGGCTCATTACTCCTCCCACTTTTCCCTCCTGCTCCTGCCTGTTGGGGAAATGGAGGCAGGCGGACAGTAAGAAGTTTGTGTGCAGCTGCTCACGTTGGCCTCTCCTGGGTCTACTGGATTTTCCCTGGGAGCAGTATCCTCCCGGGCCGACCCAGTGAGCGATAAGTCACGAAGCCACACCGGTGAAACCCTGCCCGGTGCACCTGGCCGGGGCCCTGTGCTCTGCAGAGACCGGGGACCTCCGGGTCTATGGGCGCAGCGGCGCCCTGCTCCAGCTTGTTCAGAGCATGGAGGAGATTCCACGGTTTGCGGTCTCCCCGCTGTGCCGGTTTCAGTATTAGACTTTCCTGAGGCTGATGGGCCACTTTTAATCATCGGTTAAGGTAACATTCTGTTCTCACAAAGAAATCACTTTGCCAAGTTTGTTCGGTTAGCTCTTCTTACAGTTTTTTCCCCACACATCTAAGCTTTCCACATGTTTTTACTCAAATGAATCCTTCATATAGATTGCTTTCCCTCCTTTTAAAAGTGATCATCACACATAGAATGTAAACACAGTGGGTTAAAGTTAATTTCACAAGCGATCAAATGGATTGTACGAGATACCAGGCGAGTGGTAGACAGCTCCGCACCTGAGTGGCTGACGTGCGGGCCTTCACGTGACTCTCTCGGGCTGAACTGAATCGAGGCAGGTGTGTGTGTTTTGTGCTATGCTTCCTGCCCTCCCTGCTGCCCCGTCCCCACCCCCTCCTGCCTGCCCTCCTCCGGTGTGACCACAGGCAGAAATTCACGTCGGGGCCACCCTCCCTCCCAGACACACGGAGCTGGCGGACTCACGAGAGTCAGCTCCTCTCTCCCTGAAAAACACCTGCGGACACCCCAGAAACCGGGGAGATGGGAGACTAACGTGGCTGGAAAAGCCGGGCAGGGCTTCTGGCACTGCGTCCTCTCCCCAGGTAGATGGGTCCTTTCTGGGATGAGACCAATTATTTACTGCAAAAACATCTGTTGATAACTGCAGCTGCCCTTGGGGGACAAAGCACATCCCGGGTCACAGGCCATGGGGACCTCACTGCCGCTCCCACTAGTTTCCGACTGTTCAGGGACGCCCCGCCGCCCAGGGCTACCGTCCTCCGATGGTCTCCTCAGCCATAGAAGTTCCCCGCAGCTTTGAAGTGTGATTCCATCTCCATTGCTGATTTATATCCCGGGCCATTGTGCGGTGGGGAAGGGGGACTTTTTGTTTTCTGTTTAATTGTATATTGCCTGACACTTTGACCTGTATTATAAGTATTAGGAAGAAAAAGGATTTTGTCCTTCTCTTATTTAAAAATAAAATTTCAAGGGAAAGTAAGCTCTCCTTCAGCTCTTTTCACTCAAAACAATGTTTACACTCTGAGAGGGAGAGATGAAAAGCATGAGCAATTTTTTCAAGTGCTGGAGAAGGCGTTTCAGTTTCTGAAAGAGAACAGTGAGGCTCTTATAAATATCATTCAGGGAAACCTTTGATGGATTTTTCAAAAGTACTGAAGGCATTTAGCTTCTGTGGCAGGCAGCGCCGCTCCAGCCGGGAGCCCGCCCGGCCGTGAGGGCCCAGGGGCCCGGCTGCCCTTGCTGTGGGTGCGCCTTTGTGTCCAGGGACGCCCACTTTTCTGAGAAGAACAATACTGCACAATGAGTGGAAGATAGGAAAACGCAGCTCTTACAAGGCGGTTACAGGGTGTGCCCGCCCTGGCGGTTGGGCCCGAGGTGCCAGGCAGGGAAGAGGGGCTGACTGATACCTGGTTGACACCTCCCCGGGAAGCAGCAACGGCACTCCTGCCCGGGGACCCGAGGGTCACGTTTATGACGCTGGCTGAAGTGCCACCTGAGGAGAGGAGGCAGGCTCAGAAGGAGGGTCTTTCTCCCATTTTCTCTTTGGCTTTGCAACTGTGATTTGGGGTCATCGAGAGCCTTCACGCCACAGATGTTTGGGGAGCGTCTCTGCCGCCTCGGAGTAGTTCACGGGAGAAAATAAACGCCACGCTGATTTCTTATGCTGTCATGGGTGAAAATCTGTGGATAAGTCAAGTTTGGTCAATTTAGCTTCCAGAACAATTTTTTCTAATATATCTTAATCTTGGTGCTTTAAGTCGTTGATATTTTAATTGTCGAACAACTTAAACTATGAAAGGGTCAAAAGTTAAATAAATAAATGGAAACGAATATAAGAGTTGATTGTTACAAGATGGCAGGGAAGTGTTTTAAAAACCTGTAGTGTGATTTTGGGAAATGATAAATGTGGACTCATGAGGAAGTTGAAAAGCGACCCGGGTGTGCTGGCGGCTAACGCAGGACGGCTCTCAGGGAAAGGACGGAGCCCCCCCCCCCCCCCCCGTCCCCCCACCCCTGCAGATAAGCGCTGGGTCAACGCGCGCTCTGAAAGCACATTGAGAACCACTCACGGCAGGACCTGGTTTTCCTGTCAGTCACAGGAGGACTGGGCCCCAGAGCTTGGTGTCGTTCGGACTGTGATTCTTGTAGCAACCGATTTTCTCAAATGAAGTTTTCACCTTCAACTCTGTGCTTTGGGGTTTTACCAGCTTAGCTCTCTTTCATCAGGATGCAAAGAGCAAAGAGAATGCAAACTGCACTTTCATTCCTTTGTTCAGCAAAGCTTTACTGTTGGTGTGGGCAGCAGACACCTCACTTAAAGCTCCGTCACAAAGACGAGAGAAGCTGAAGCCCCAGCCCATGTCCTGGCCACCGGGATGGAGAGATGGGCCGCGCTTGGCTGGAGGCCTGTGGTTGTGTGGCGTCTCACCTGTACAGGTGCCCTCAGCCCATTGCTCAGTCCTCCCAGGTGTGGCCACGGGACTCTGTGCCAATGAAACATAGGCAGCAGTGACACAGGCCAGTCCCCAGCAGCCTTGTAAGCGACCATGAGCTTGGACGTTTTCCTTTGCCTCTGCCTGGACCCAGAGAGAGCGACAGATGAGGAGCGTTGGAGCTGGAGCCACGGGCAGCCAGAGGAGCAGGCAGGGAGTTGCGGTGGTGACACGCAAACGCCGCGTCAGGAGACGGAGGCCGTTCCTCCCGCTCACACAGAGTTCCGTGGTCTGGGGTCTCTTAGTGAGGTTTCATTAAAGCAGAGCTAACCCTTACTGATGAAACCTTCACTTCTACCGTGCTTCCACGCCTGGGTGCTCTGGAATTTGAAACGGCAAAGCAGCAAACAGTTCCGTGGTTTCTCTCCGCATGCACAGCAG